ATTTAACGAACACTCACTAAGCCAGAGAACAGAGGCTGGGATTTAACTTCTCTTTCAGCATTTGTAAAGCACCAGTATTAGTTCCCATTTCATCCCCTCTCACCCCACACCCTCAGCAGCCAGGGTCAGCAGGCCACAGCAGATGCAGAGTTGCAGAGGGCTCCTGTGCACATGGGTGCCCACAGCACTGTCAGGGAGGTTGCAGGTCCAAAAGGCCCCTGGCCACACCAGTACAGCCGGGCCCTGCACTTCCTTCCCCATGAGGGTGCCTGTTCTTTTGTAGCTTGAGGCTTCTGCTCCATGTGAGGGGCTCTGTTAGCAAAATACCTGATCAGCCCTCCCTTTCTGCCAGAGGAAGGGGACCCAGGGCATGGGCCCAGCTGGCAAGTGCCACAGCAGGGTGGCAGAGATGAGGGGCTTCTGCTGCTAATGGGAAGCACAGAGAGGGCAGCAGTGCTACTGCCTGTGCTGGGCACCATGGCTCCAGCTGACACTGCACTGTCCTGGGGCAGCCACTGCCCCCAGCATGGGGGGAACACAGGGGCTGATGAACCGATGGCTTGCAAGGGCTGCGCGGTTCGTTGCTGCCTGAGTCACTCCCAAGTGTTGGTAAAATTTAAGTATTCATTGATCTGGGGAATCAGCACTCAAACTGTCATCACAAAAGGGACACCAGGCACACAGCTGACCCCAGCTTCGCCACAAACATTCCCTCTCCTCCCCGAGGCTGCAGACAGTCCCCCTCAGCTCAGACTTCCACCCACCTCACCAGAGACTATGCTGGAGGGCACCCGCTGCCCCAGAGGGGCTGGGCGGCCCACTCCTCCCTCTGGACACACTGACCTGAGCAGGGGAGAGCTCCCAGTGAGGAGCCCCACAGACATAACCAGGCTGTATTTGCTAGGCAAAAACAAGCCCAGCTAAGATATGCCTCACCACACACACTCCCCTTCCCTCCCCCCCAGCGCCGGAAGGATTACGGGGCTGTGCAGGGAACTTCTTGTCCTGCCAGGGTATGAACCTTCCTCACCCGGTCTCCAGGCGGCACAAAGCATCTCGGAGCAGTTGCAAGCAGACAGGCTTTGTACAGAGTTCCCGCAAACATCACTGCTTTTATTTAAAGCAGAAAATACAGGATGTTACAGATGAGTGGAAAAATGTGAACTGCCCCACTGCTTGCACTCCACTCCTCGGACTGGAGAATGCTTTTCTGGAAGTCAGAGGGTCTCCAGACAGGATTAGGAAACCACGTAGTGTCTGCCCTAGCTTTTTTTATCGCCCTGCTTGGCTGAGGCTTACACCTCCCCGCAGCCCCCCCAGCCAGGGTCCCCTACCTTTTCTCCTACTTACAGCTTCCCATAACCCTTTTGTTTTTGACTCCTGGGAGGCCCTTTTCAAGCTCTTTGTTAGCTCCATCTCTTTGAAACACTGGAAAGCTACCAGCAAGAAGCCTGGCTCCAGCTCGCCATTGCCAGTGCTGGCAGCAGCTTGCCCCATCTTCTGCCAAGCTCAGTCCTTCCACAGGAGCCTCCTGGCCCAAGTTGGGCAGGAGTTGCAGTCACCTCCTTCCCTGCTCATCTTCATATAGATAAATTGTACCAGTCCGTGGCTCAACAGCTTGTACAGAGATAGCTTTGTAGCGCCCACCAACATTCACCAAGTGCCAGAATTCCCAAAGCAATGACACTTGATATGGAGTTCCCTTACACAGCTTTGGGGAAGAATCATTAAAAAGATCTGCTTCGTTCCTGTTTTGATGATTATGAAGACAAAGACAGCCACAGGTAGTCTTTCTCTCCCTCTAACGTTAGCATATGCTTTCTATTCTTCAAGCTAAACAGCTACGGGCAGCCTGCCTAATGTGTTTATCAACATAAACTAGAGACATCTCAAACACTTAGTTTCATACAGCCACCACCTATGACGCAGATTACTTTACTGACACTCCTTACCTTGCAATCACTGGAAAGCTAGAAAGCCACAAAAGACCTGCAAGTAAAGCACAAATCACATCAATTCTGTAAAGCCAAGTTACACTTACTGGCACTATGCTTAATTTATATCCCTTGAAACAGCTGGCCTAGAGTGCCTTTTAATTGATTGCAATTAGAAACTGTTGATTGGCTTGCCCCTAGTGTCAGTGACCACAATTATATCATCTAGTGAAAAGAGAGGCAGTTACTATCTTTTAACCACAATTCCGTTTTTTGAGCATAGTAAAATAGCTAAGCAGTGTACTGAATGACATAGTATTACTCATATGCTTAAGCACCCAGGTCCTTGATCTTGTGCTTTATAAAGTGCTCTGAGCTGTGTGTAATTGCCTATAAATATGCTGCTGATCATGCTTAAAGGGACACTGTCAAGGTTGGAGGACCTACAGTTTGGCTTAGTAAAATGACATCTTAAAATAGTTTTATTCTCAGTGTTCCTAAATTACCAGCCTGTGGTTTTTATCATGCTTCTTTTTATCAGTCCAGCTCCTAGAATTAATAAGGTTATTGGAGAATGTTCACTTTTAAAGCAACAGTCCAGGCAAAGAAATAGTATGATAGAGGCTAATGTTCCCATCCTGAACATGCAAGCAAAAGTACTTGGGTGTAACACCTATTTTTCCTGATGTGAATGGGCATAACCTCTATTGCCCTTATGGTTTGCAATAAAGTCGTCCCTTGTTGAAATAACATCTTGTGAAAGAAATCTTCAAGAGTGAGCACGGGGCTGAAGGGCTCAGGTCTGGACAAGCCTGCAGCTGCACGAAGTACCCATTCTCTGATGTCTGTCAGTCTGTAGTCTTGTCCTAGTTGAGCTGAAGTGCAGAGAATGCAAAAAGAGTCAGGGAAGAGAGTTACAAAGCTGGTGAGAAGCCTGCAACTTCATCTCATCCTTGGCAGCGTTGCTGGGATGCAGAGGGTTGACAGGATGGGGAAATCCCAGGAACAAGAGCTCTTTCCCGCACTGTCCTTTCTACGAGCAGCTCTGTGGCTGGAGCCCGGTGGCGAGGGAGCTGAAGCCAGCTATTGAGGACTTTTTTTGATGTCAGGCGAAGAGCGTACTGGACTTTCTTTTAAGGACAGAATACAAATAGCTAAGTTGTGAAAGGTGGCCTGGGATTTTTCCTTTTATGAAGGGCTTCATTTGTTTCTGAGCTGAATAACTCTGCTCACTCCAAGCAGCAGTCCTCCAGCACACTCTGTACTCCTGAGAAACCTGCAATGCCACAGTAACCAAACCCACAGTTGCCAGTAAATGAAAAATTATAGCTCACTGGTGCCAGGGACAGTGCAGAACAGGGGTCTGTTGAGGGGAAATGGGGAGAAACTGTAAGCAAAGTTTGTGCTGTTAGTGCCAGAGTGGCTGTGACAAGATGTGGTCTTAGCCTCCCTGCATATCCTGCTAGGCTCTGTGCAGCAAATTTGAAGACAAAGCTCTTGAGTTTCCCCAGACATGGGCCTACAGCCAAACTTCACCTTCCTTTCTGCCTGGGAGGTGAAAGATTTACAGATACCCAGGCAGTATATTGGATGTGCTCCTCCATCCAGGTGTGTGTTAGTCATAGGATAGACACTGCCTAAGCTCTAGGGACTTGAGGGAAATCCTTGTGATGTGTGAAAGAACACTCAGAAAGAGCCAAAAAATAATTAGCCTGGGAAAAGGGTACACTTGCAGCAGCCATGCCTAAAACAAGGACTGGTGAGCATTTGTGGCCAGTGGCATCACTTGATGCTGCAGTTCCTCAAAGAGGTGGGAGATTTTCCCCTTAGTTTTGTTGGTTGATTTTGTTGGGTTGTTTTGGTTTTTTTTTTTCAATTAAAGGAAAGAGAAGAAATAATAATAATAATAAAAAATACGCAGGCTGAAAATCCCACAGGACAGAAAAAGGCAAGTCTAATGTGAGTCTAACAACAGATCCAGCTCAACGTATCAGCAGGTGGGAAGGTGCTCCCCACGCTTCCAGTATGCACTCAAGGGAACACACAGCATTGTAGGGGCTGTGTCTCTCACACAGGCAAGACTTTTAGGGTGTGAATATGGATGTGGAAAATCACTTGGAAAAGGCTCATGAGTCTAACACCAAAGAGTGCATTTCAAGCTCTAACAGTTACAGAGAAACACTTGAAAGTGCAACTTGCATATATTTTAAGAGCTTCCAGAAACCAGAATAAAAGCAAAATGAGCCCAAAGTCTGTACTTTTAAGAATCTCAGGCTTTGCAGATAAAGCTGTTATCTCCTTCTTTTGAGCTGACTTGGTATTTTTAAATAGTTGTCCTTGAGAATTGTAAAACTTGGTTTATTTTTTGTAGGTTTATTCCATAGAAATGCTTTAAAAGCAATAAAGTGAACCTCAATAGCCTTGCTTTAATCCATAATTACATCAATTCCATGTGGTGGTTATGCAGAGAGAAACTAACTGAGTAGGAAATTGTAAGGATTTCTGTAACAATAGTTCGTACATTGTTTGTACACATATATACCATAATAATAACAACAGAAAAGCAATAGCAACCTTGCAGTTACAAAAAATACCCAGTGCCCGTTAAAAATATATGTGTATATTCTGTGTTTACCCAGATGAACAGTGTTTGTAGGGACTGATACATTATGTACTCTGTATCTTCTGATTTATTGAAGTTCTTTCTGGGCTTCCTGTCTTCAAAACTATAGTCGTGCCTGATATTTGCCAGGAGGAACTGAAGTTCCATAGAAAGGTAAACACCTGGAAGCTGAGATGAGGAGTGTGTAAGAAACATTGATTAATTTAATGGCAGTGCTTTATAATGGACCATATATATTTTTCTGCTGTAATTGCTATATACATTCAACAGTTTTGTTATATGATGTCAGTGCACATTTTTCAGCACAGCTGCTAGAGAGGCATTGCTGAACTGCTGTTTCTCTTCCATGACAAACACCTATTAAGCGGTCAGCATAAACTCTTCTTGTTATAGCCTCTGACATCACCGTCAGGGCAAGCGAACACAGAACAGCAATTGCTGAATCGCGTATGAAAATTATAGTTTTATTGTCTATACAAGTGAAGGTTTAACTCCGATTCCTGCTCGAGTCAGCTCTGTTATAAGGGAGCGATTCTTTCAGGGAACAAACAAGCACAGTACACCATTGTAATCAGAGGAACAGGCACTATTTATCTATTGGAAAGACTTGTTCACAATAGTGCTAACACTTTAATGCCCCAGAAGCCACTATTTTAGCAGCTGTAGAGAAAAAAGCATGACTAACAAGATGCCATAGAGAGTCAGACACAGTTTTTTTAGAACACAAATGGAATTATCCCATTTGATACAGCTCAGTTTAATATGCACGACTGGTAAGTAGGGATCATGTATTTAATGTTTATAAACGCGTTTTCTCCACCGCAGCGTTCAAAGGCTTCCAGTGTCTCTTGAATCAGATCTCCAATGTTTTCACGCTTCTGCTGGCTGTATTCTATCCCATCACCTGAATTAACTGGTTAATAAAGCAGAAAAAAAAATGAAAATTATATTAAATTTACTGTTATGCTTTGAAGTAATGACATAGGAAATTGTCACTGTGCCTTTATCAGAAACTTTGCTCTACGACATGAAACAGAGCTGAATTTGAAAACAGGATGGCTTGATATCTCTTTAGGTTCTGATCAGGCTCCAACTCTGTATGCCTTCAAAATTTGCTTATGTGTGCATTACTTCAGTATCTAAGCAAAAATCCTAATAAAAATAAAGAAAACACATTCTTCTATAACATGAAGATGGACTCTCTTACACTGTTAATCTCTTAAGACCATTACGTCTTTATTTTAAACATTGCTTATTTAGGACAAAATTCCAGTGCCAGATGCATAAACGCTTATGTACAAAATGTGACTTAAGCTAGACTTGTTATGGTTTGAAATCTTAAATAGGTATTGCTTTGGGATTGTTCCATGTCAGACATCATATTCACACACTTTTTTTTTTGATCAAGGAGATGTCATGTGGCCTAAAAGAGATTTTGGAATTTGACATGACACACATTCCATTTCTGTTCCCTGAAAAATGTGTAAAATTAAGTCAGTGTCAAAAGGACAAATTATTGCAGCCCCCAGATGCAGCAACATTTTCTGCTGCTTTCTCTAACATGGAGTAGCAAGGTTGACACACATTTGTACACACAGAGCTTAATTCTTTAAAAACATCAGCTGTGATGACAAACTGTGACAATAAAAAAAATACAAGAATAAAAAATAACTGGCAATAATGCTGAGAGATTTAAAGGAGGAAAATACATTTCATTTTGGTGAAACAATATGAAAGCTATCTTAATGCATTCCATATATAAAAGACATTATATATATAATATATATTGTATATAAAAGACATTCCAAGATTCATATATATGTGTGTATATATATATATATAAATTATTTAGTAGGAGCATAACATACTCAGATCAGCTGTGGTGCAGTGGCCAGGGGAGAGGCTGTCACACTGCTCTGGGGTAGTCCACACACAGTCAGTCAGTGGTCTCACTGTGGGCAGTGGTGGCCTTGTGCCCATGTCATACATTTAACATCTCAAATAGTGCTGCTTACTTATTGACACTCTCAGCCAGCAAAGGACACGTTTGTCAAGACAACGCAACCACCTTCGTGGGTAGTGCCTGCCTTTCACATCAGAAACACAGTGCACTCAAGGGTGAGAGTAGATTTTGCTCCCACTGCTGCCTCAACATCCCCAGGCTGGTGGGACGTAGACATACAACTGCACCCATCCTCACAACCTGTCCAGGATTTAATCCTGAGGATCTGGATTTAAAGTCTGTGACTTTGTTACCAGTAAAAACTGAAGAACTATGTTCATGAAGAAAGAGCTGATGAATATGGGTAAAAATCATCCTTTTGCTGAATTTTCCTGTAAAATACCTGATTGCACTCCAAGTTAATTATATGTGCACCAGCTTTTCAAACTCCTTACGCACATCTGTGTCACTTTGCTTCTTGCAGAATGTTTACACAGGTACAGATGGGACATACAAGGACTAGGCTTCAAGTGGAAAGACAGTAATATTTTTTTATGATTGCTCTTAAGCAAATGGTTTCCTATATATTAACTGTTTTTTTCACTGACATGAGGAGCCAGAGTTGTGACATCAAAATTTCCTACAATGAATTTAGTGTAATGTTAAAAATAACAGATTATGCGAGTGCAGAGGAAACAGCAAGACCTATTAAATAAAAGCATTGTCTTGTACAAAATACTGATGCAAAAAGAAAAGCCCTTTACAATTGAGTGCAATTTAGACAAAAGAGAAAACAACTGATAACAATTGTGGCTCATCACCTGTGTTGCATGTGTGCTGCCAGCACTCCCCAGAACACCTGGACGTATATCTCATTTCACTGGTTTGAAGAAAGGAAACCCTGAACCTTGACCTAAGTTTTGGCAAATATGTAAAGGGATTACTGACTTTCCAACCATTTGTCTATTACCTGTAATTTTAAGCCTACACACATGCTCTGCTAATGAGCTTACACAGCTTTCATTGTTCTTTCAAAGAAGTAGTAAAAAAATCAGCTCTCTGGAAGTAAGGGTGATATATTGCTAAGTAAGTTTGGAGGAGGCCAACAAGACAGCATAATAATGCTTGTAGCAGAAGTATTTTCCAAAATCCCCTGTTATAGTCTTCATTATAGAGCACAGTCTGTACAAAAAATGATGCCCTAGGTGCTTGATTGAAAGGTGCCTAAGAGAATGAGGCAATGATAATGGAAATAGTATGCAAGGGAAAACTGAACGTGTGATGTGCAGACCATCATTACATTTTTTTTCCCTACAGACTGTTTGTGCTATATGAAGGTTTGTATCCTCAAGACAGCCATAATTCACATTAATGTCATGACACAAGCTACAACTAATAATACCAGAAAGGTTATGTCAGCATCGAGGTCACCGGCTAAGTACTAAAATAGCTATCCTATGCAGTTACAGGAATTAACAAATCTTTCAGACAAAAAAGATAATCATTAACCCAACAGGACAACATCCACTAAACGGATGAGTCACAATGATCTGCTCAATGCACCTAAGGGTAAATATCTAGTCATAATAATAATGATGATTAGTTGGAAGAAAATAGCTGCTGAAGTATAGCAGTCTCAGCATGGTTTGACTTTATTTCCAAGTTAGTTTGCATGAGAAGCCAACTTTGTCAGCCACAAAAACGTTGCATATGTAAAGTGTGAACATGAATCTGATTCAAGCTTTTTATGAAGTTGTCCTTTGTGAGGAAGAATAAATCAACATGAAAATGCTAAGAAGCACATTTGTCATATCTTTGTCTCGAAGTGAAATGTCTGGCAAATTTAGCATGCATCAAGAACTCTTTTCACAGCAAATGTTATTTCTGTATTTAGAAGAAATGCATTGAAAGAGATCTACAGGATTACACTCAGGAAAAGATCTCATTTTCACTTCCTGGATAAAAAAAGTTAGTTCCTAGTCTTCTAAATCATGCACCAAGGGTTTCATAGTCCTTAACATTAAATGAAAGGCTTTGCACCTGTCAAGACCTGTGCTAGCTGATGAAATCACCCAGTTCATTGAGCCCAAGAGTGGCACTCCCTGCCCTACCATCAGCACTGTTGATGCCAACTGCTGTAGCTAAGGAAACCCTGCTCAGACCCTCAGGGACTGAACTTAGGCTTTGGCAGGGAATGGAGGTGGATTTGAATTTTGCTTTAAAACATGGTTTGCATTTAAGTCTAGACATGCTTCTATTCATGATTCAGGATATTAATGAAAATCTGGTGCTAATTGTATTCCATCTAATTTCATTTTAAAATTTCATTAGGCTAATATTACAAATATAATACTGTACTTCATTAAAGAAGGACAAGCAAGGTTCTATCAATGCAATAAGAACTTGATGTGGCAACTTTTAAGTACTGGAGTGGACGAGAAATGTAAACCAACCCTCAAAGTTCAGGCAGATCTATTCTTATCTCTGAATAAGAACAGGGACATTTGTTAGCATCTGAAAGTGTCTGAGACATTCTTTCAGTTTATTATATTTCACTTCAAGGCAGGTCAGCTCTTGAAAAGAATTTTTTCTAATACCCTGAATATGCTGATGTACCGTATGCTGCAAGTATGTTACAGATAACAGAGTGGTGGCTGTTCCTAAGGTTCTGCTTCATGGAAGACACAGATTAAAAACGGAGTTTCAATACACTTCATGCTGTAGGGATGCTGTAGATCTTGGGATATTAGAATTTCCACAGATGTTAAATATCTGAGGAATGCTTAGTGTGGGGGACAGAATAATACTTAGAAGAGATTTCTGAAGAGACAGTGAAAGAAGCCCTGTGTCCCTAGGTTAAGCAATGTTTTAAATCAAATTGTTACTCAAAGGCCATTCCTTTCTTTACTGATGAACTTTTAAGTGCATATATACACGCGCATATATTTCAACTTGTCTTGGAACAAGTAGGTCCTAGCAGAGTTTTTTAACTACTAGTTAACAACTAAGAGCTCTTGTATAAAGGTTTTGGGCTGTTTTTTTTTGTATACAAATCAATAAACCTGCTTGGAAAGACAGTTATCATTCCTCCCTATTTGAATCTTGAGAAACAAAGATAGCAAAAGGTAAAGTGGCTTGCTCCAAGTCATGAAAGGGATTAGTCACAAATCATGCTTTTTGACTTTTTAATGTATACAATGAAAGTACTATTTATAGTAAAATACAACTATGGTAAAAATAATTTTTAAGCTGCTTGTTCATCCTAGTAAAATCAACAGCTATTTTCAGCAGTTAAAATTATTACAGTAATCCAGCATGCTAACCACTTAACAGAATAAGGTTTTTACTTCAAAAAGCCAGCAGTGATTGGATTGTAAGGTGCAGATATATTTCTCAGTACAGAATTGTATTTCTACAGAAAAGCCTGGCACAGAACAATATACAGTTAAGCAGTACAAACTAGCATTTAAATATTTTGTGGAAAATTTCAGGACTTTTTTTCTTCTAGGAGTTAGCATCAATATGAAGAAAGAAACAGAAGCTGATTTTAGCTATAGATTGACACGTATCTATGTCAGGGTTCACATAGTGTTCACCGTTCAGATACAGTTCAGAGCTTAATTTTTCAATGTACTCTTGTTAGGATTAGTTTAATTGTCATAAAATATGTTGGCTTCCTGGCTGGTGTGGAAAATGAAAGCCCCTAATGAGTAAGTCTGGCAGGGAGGAGGAGGGCTCCGTACCACTGCTTCTCTCACTGTGACTCAACTGTGCTTTGAAATTGTCAGTTCCAGGAAGGATAAGGTAGTTCCATCTCCCTATTCATTTAATGGAAAATCTGTGAAAAGTCCTAGGGTAGGACTCTAAACCATCCTGTCTGCTAAGAAATAGCCAGTTTGTTTGGCTTAGGTGAAGGAAAAGCCACCAGGAGGTTACAAATTCTGGACATTACTAACCCAGACAGAAAACCC